AAGCACGCCTCCAACTCAATCATCAAGTTTGCAGACGACACAACAGTAGTAGGCTTGATTACCAACAATGACGAGACCGCCTACAGGGAGGAGGTGAGGGCTTGGGAGTGTGGTGCCAGGAAAATAACCTCTCACTCAACGTCAACAAAACAAAGGAGATGATTGTGGACTTCAGGAAACAGCAGAGGGTGCACCCCCCTATCCACATCGACAGGACCGCAGTGGAGAAGATGGAAAGCTTCAAGTTCCTTGGTGTACACATCACTGACAAACTGAAATTGTCCACCCACGCAGACATTGTGGTGAAGAAGGCGCAACAGAGCCTCTTCAACCTCAGGAGGCTGAAGAAATTTGGCTTGGCACCTAAAACCCTCACAAACTTTTACAGATGCACAATTGAGAGCATCCTGTCGGGCTGTATCACCGCCTGGTACGTCAACTGCACCGCCCGCAACCGCAGGGCTCTCCAGAGGGTGGTGCGGTCTGCCGAATGCATTACCGGGGGCAAACTACCCGCCCTCCAAGACACCTACAGCACCCGATGTCACAGGAAGGCCAAAAAGATAGAAGCACAAGCATTTCGCTACACCCGCAATAACATCTGCTAAACACGTGTATGTGACAAATACAATTTGATTTGATTTGATTCCAATAGGCATTAAACATAACTTTGCAAGCCAGGATAATGTGACTTGCAGGCCTGATGTGACCTGTAAACCAGGAGATTCTTAACACCACTGTGTTAGGGTATAACTAGGCCCTCAAAGAAAGGCCAAAGTATTTTATAACTAACCAAAGATAGACCAGAGCCTGTCGTTTCCAATGGGAGCAAATTAATCATATTGGGCAGAACAAACAAGGAGGTGGGCAGAGCCAAGCACGAGCTAGTGAGATCCTATTGGCGTGTTCTAGCATTTATTTGCATATTTCCATTAGGGAACGCCTACTCTGTGAAGTGCGCGTGTGCAATAACTCAATTCGCCCCTTGCCTTCTAAACAACAAAAAAATTTAAAACTTTGGCAAATGGTAAAGTCTACAAAACGCAGTCTACTCTATTTGTTACAGATTCTAGTTTTGGAAACAGAAAACTGTATGGAGATCAAATGTTTCATCAATGAGAAAATTAGCAGAATGTCAGCCAAAATCCATTTCGCTCCATCATCTCCCACTGCCGGGCCACTGGGCTTCCTCTCACCACCATATTTGGTAGTGAGTGGAAACACCAATCGGATGCTTCACATTTATACATCCGGTGAAATATCTGACTTATTGTTTTATCTGTGGAAAGGCCTTATGATATACAGTATGTAATGTAGTGTCATAAATAATAAAAATTTTAAGGCTAATAAGGCTGGTGGAACCGTTCATAGATGGTTCTAGGTAGACAGTTTTATTTGGCAAATACAGCGGTACGCAGCAATGCGTAAAACTCTACAGTGCGGTATAACGGCGCACTGGAGAAAACAAAGCACATGGGTGAATATCCCGGCGATACAATACATATAGCTCCACCAAGCTATCGTCACCTCCACATGAAATCAATCACACACAAAGACATGGGAGGGCAGAGGGAATACTTATACAGGGACTGATGAGGGGATATGAACCAGGTGTGTGAAATAAACAAGACAAACCAAATGGAATGATGAGATGAGGAGCGGCAGTGGCTAGAAGGCCGGTGACGACGAACACCGAAGCCTGCCCGAACAAAGAGAGGAGGCAGCTTCGGAGGAAGTCGTGACACTAGGAAGAACCTTTAGATTATAAAATGATTATTGGTAGAACCCTACATAGAGGGTTCTAGATAAAACCCTGTGTAAAGGGTTCTACCCAGCACCAAAAAGGGTTCCCCTATGGGGACAAACTGAAGAACCCTGTATGGTTCTACTTAGCACCTTTTTTTCTAAGCATGTACATACAGTACCATGAGTCAGTGAATGAGGGACCAGTATTACTAGACATGAGTCAGTGAATGAGGGACTAGTATTACTAGACATGAGTCAGTGAATGAGGGACCAGTATTACTAGACATGAGTCAGTGAATGAGGGACCAGTATTACTAGACATGAGTCAGTGAATGAGGGACCAGTATTACTAGACATGAGTCAGTGAATGAGGGACCAGTATTACTAGACATGAGTCAGTGAATGAGGGACCAGTATTACTAGACATGAGTCAGTGAATGAGGGACCAGTATTACTAGACATGAGTCAGTGAATGAGGGACCAGTATTACTAGACATGAGTCAGTGAATGAGGGACCAGTATTACTAGACATGAGTCAGTGAATGAGGGACCAGTATTACTAGACATGAGTCAGTGAATGAGGGACCAGTATTACTAGACATGAGTCAGTGAATGAGGGACCAGTATTACTAGACATGAGTCAGTGGGCTAACAGGAATTATTAACCACCAATGTACAGACAGTCACAAGACAATGCGAACTGAAGGGTATGTTAGGCATTATTGAATTGTCATTGTGGTCAATGTGTAATCCATACACTCACATAGGCTACACACACACACACACACACACACACACACACACACACACACACACACACAATATAGGCTACAGTATATTGACGTAAAGTATGTATTGATGTAAAATATGTAATTACACCTCTAGAATAGCAGCCTTTCCTATTTAAACCACACATCCTCCCTCCACTAACTCAGGGTGTGTGAGTGTATGTGTGTGTGTGTGTGTGTGTGTGTGTTTGTGTGTGTGTAGCCTATGTGTGTGTGAGTGTATGTGTGTGTGTGTGTGTGTGTGTGTGTGTGTGTGTGTGTGTGTGAGTAGTCTACCTTTACTATCCTGTTGGGTTCCAAAAGACAGTACAACAAGGACAGTACAAGGGGACATTTCACTGGTCCCCAAAAGGAAAAAGGCTATGTTAGGTTTAGGGTTCAGGTTTAGGAAATAAGAGTAAGGGTTAGGTTTAGTGTTAGGGTTAGGGGTTTGGAGTGGCGCAGTGGTCTAAGCCCGACAGGATGCTCTCTAGAGATCCTGGTTCGAATCCAGGCTCTGTCGTAGCCGGCCGCGACCGGGAGACCCATGGGGTGGCGCGCAATTGGTCCAGGGTAGGGTAGGGGGGGGAATGGCCGGCAGGGGTGTAGCTCAGTTGATAGAGCATGCCGTTTGCAACGCCAGGGTTGTGGGTTCGATTCCCAAAGGGGGTATGAAAAATAATAAAAAATAATGTATGCAATAACTGTAAGTCGCTCTGGATAAGAGCATCTGCTAAATGACTAAAAATGTAAAAGGTTAGGGAAAATAAGATTTTTTGGTCCCTACTTGGATAGAAAAACCACCGTGTGTGTGTGTGTGTCGGTGGGTGTCTGTGTGTGTTGACTTCTCTGGTTCCTTTTATAAACATACACTTGGTTACTCTACCTCCATGCTCACTCTTTACCTCAATTACCAGTAAAACTATACATTTTACCCCCCTTACCACCCTTTTATACCTCAATTACTAGTAAACTGATCCAGTTTGGGCTTTTAAACGACATTACGAGGGCCTACACCCATTTCTCCCTAAAGCATATTATACTACAGTCTAAACTGACATACTATGTCAACAGTGAGCTTCGGAGAGCACAGTCCAAGCTTCACTTCTCTATTCCTGAAAGCCTTCCATAGCCTGTGGCTTTTACCATTACGTCAGTCTGTCTGTCTATACAGGAATCCCATTTTTGTTACTAGTCTTAACTAAACTTTGTATCTGGTGGCAAACACAGAACATCCTAGCCTATGTTACTGTCCTTTGGGTTGTAGAATGTTACTGTGCCTAGTTTAATAAATGTTTGCACAGGCCTATTAAGAGCATTGGTAGTATTTTATTGTTATGTTTATTACTTTGCATACTTCTAGGAGGGTAATAATGTCTGTGTAAAACATTGGTTTACATTATACAGTCCTCTGCCCATAACTTACTTTATGTTTCTAGACCTAGTTAATAGAGAGAGCAGAGAGCAGAGAGAGACGATTGGAGATATGAGATCGGAGAGAGTAGAGGAGGAAGAGCGAGAAGAAGATGGAAGAGAGAGTGAGAGAGAGAGAGAGAGAGAGAGAGAGAGAGAGAGAGAGAGAGAGAGAGAGAGAGAGAGAGAGAGAGAGAGAGAGAGACAGAGAGACAGAGAGAGAGAGGTCAGCTAGCACTCCAACAACCACTTCTTCTCTGAACAATGCTTGGCTGTTGTTGTTTACAAAGAACAAGGGAAAATAGACGAGTGTAACATCATGGCTACATATTCATGCAAATACTTATTCAGCCCAAGCTCAATGAAAACCCTCTTTGACAACATTTGCTAAATCAGCCTCCATCACATTTTCACTGTCAAACATTAGCACTTGCTTGCTTCAGTGTCGTCGAAAAGAGGACTACGTATTGTAGCCTCCTTCTCTAACTAGACCTATTTTCTGTCACTAGAAAATTGATACCATATTTGGTCCCACATTAAAATAATCCCTGATATTTAGGGATTTAGGTTGGGAGATAATTGTCATTTTTTTCATTCCAATTGAACCACGAATGAAGCTTGGCAGTTGGCACCACTGTGTGAATTTGTGCCAAGCTGGAGAGGCCAGGAATAACTGACTGTAGGGAAGGGAGGGTACACTGGCATCTCACTGGCATCTCCGTAACCCAACACTGGTTTCTATAACCAGTCTGTCTTAACATGGGCTAATAGGGAGTGCTTCAAATAGCTGGGCTAATTCTCATCATGTATAGGCTAACTCTTGACAGTTTATCACTGTAAATGCGTTGTCAATGGATTAGATGATTGTGAAACTAATTTTAGGTTTTACTTCCCTAATAGAGCTGAAATGGTTGGAGAGAGCGCTAACATGAGCAAATCATTGGGATATGAGAAACACCCACACACTCATACAGACGTTCATGTAGATACGTATTTACGCACGCACACACGAGCTTCCTATTTACAGTAGGCTATAAAGAGAACCCCCCCACCTCCCCCACACACATACTCACCTATCTGATCCTCGGGTATGAGTGATTCGATGGGCGGGTCCAGTTCGGAGCTCTGCGTTAGGTAGGCCTTCATCTGGGTCATGAACTGTCTGAGGGTCTGCAGCAGGTCTAAGCCTGACGTATGACACCCCTTATTCTCCTGTACAAAACTGATATAATCCTGAACCAGGCATCCAAAGTAGGAACTCTTGTCCCTGGAGAGCTCCGCTATCCTCCTCACGGCTCGCCTTTCTGGGGTCATGAACGTGCTGAAGACTCCAGAAACCTTTTGGAAGCTCAGCGCAACTTTGACCCCCACTCCGACCCCTCTCCGGCGGGCTTTGAAGGGAGGACGGAGGCCCTGGTCCAGGTCGTTCTCCAGGCTGACGCCGTAGTCTTCCTCTTCTTCGTCGCAGAGGTCTTCGTCGTCGCTGCTGTCCTCGTTGTTGCCATGGTGATGGCGTACTCTGCGAGGGGGGCTGGCGGGGAGGGAGAGGGGAGGGTGGGAGTAGTCCAGAGAATCTGAGGAAGAGGTGGAGATGGACATGTCGCTCAGCCTCCCCTCTCGTCCCTCTTGTCTGGTGGTCTTACCCAGAGGGCTGGGGGGGCTACCAGCACCATTTCCCACTATGGAGGGAGCGGGTATGGGCGGTGCCTGGCAAGGGGGCAGCTTGGCGCGGGACAGAGCCTTGGCGATAGTCTCATCGTCAAGAGCAATGTGGCACCGGTGGGCGTCGATATCAGGTTTTTTGGGGCGTGGGGGAGGAGGGTGATGAGGGTGTTGGTGGGGCACGGGGATGGGGGCGCTGCTCGTCTTCTTTTTGGACGGACTGCTGTGCCGGGTGCCCATGGGAGGGCGAGGGGCGGGGCGAAGGTTCTGATTGGATGAGGGTTGCAGTGGTTGCCTGGCGACAACAATGGCGGCGGGCGTTTCGGGCATGCTGCTCTTGGGCTTCTGGGGAAGAGGGGTGGGGGGAGGGGGAGCTTGGCGGCGGCGCTGGGAGAGGGAGCGGGGGGGCGGGGGCCGAGGGGGGCGTGACGTCCTGTTCACCTTGGGGGTCTCTCCGTTGGGGTCCGTGACAGGGGCCGAAGACGTCCCACCGGTAGTTCCCGGGCTGGGGGTGGAGTGTGTGACGTAGGGGGAAGGAGGGGAGGAAGAGGATGGTGTGTCTTCCTCAAGCCGCCGGTGAGTCTGGAGGAAGAGGGGGTTGATGAAGCAAAGCGCCCCGTTGGACTGGCTTCTCTCCAGGCGAGAGGAGGAGGAGGAAGGGGTACGAGCTGGAGGAACGCTGTTGTGGCGAGTCACACTCGGTTTCTCTTGTGTCCTCTCTGTACCCTGGTTGTCACGGTCTCTGTCAAGGAGCTGTGATGGAGAGCGTGAGGGAGAGGTTGTCCTTCGTAGGCTGCCTAGAACAGAGTGCCAGAATCCTAACAGGAGAAAAGAGATTGGGAATCATTAACAGAGTCCACACACTGTATACATTGAAAAACCTCCAATAGCTGCCTAACCACAACCGGACCCAATAACACTCAAAGTCATGATAACCATTCAAACACACAGACAGACACCTTCATACACAGACACATACATACCCTCATACACAGACATATACATACCCTTATACACAGACACCTACATACCTTCATACACAGACACCTACATACCCTCATACACCGACGCCTACATACCCTCATACACCGACACCTATATACCCTCATACACAAACACCTACATACCTTCATACACAGACACCTACATACCTTCATCCATAGACACATACATACCCTCATACACAGACACCTACCTACCTTCATACACAGACACCTACTAACCGCCTAGCCCTAACCTTGACCCAAACACACTAAAAAACGCATAAACACCCACAGGAACTACCACCAACACCACTATTCCACTTACTTTATCCTCCAGTTCACTGATACATCCACAATATAGTGCAAGTAGCACTGTAGTTAGGCAGTCAACCTTCTTTATATCCCTCTCTTTCTTTCTCTCTTTTTTCTCCGTGATCCTACGCTCTTCTGAGGCGGTGGAGAATGTGCCCAGAACGCTGTCCTGACAGACCCAGAGAGACGGAGAGGGAGTCACACATGCAAATTCCACAGGGGTGGTGGGAGGTCTCTACACACTGGATTGGCCTACAGTAATGTATAGGCCCTCCTCTTTCCTGATCACCCTCTTCCTCCCTTCTCTTTGACTGAGTTTCCTGCTACAATGCAGGACATTGGTTTCCGTTATGATCGTCTCTTCTGTTTTTTTCACTTGTATCCACTGAATCAGGCTATTGTTTGCTGGCACTTGGCACACAAGTCTCTGTGCTAATTCATCCAGAAGAACAATCACACACCAAGAAAGACATTACAGAATTATTAATGTAATGTAATAGAATTGAAGGACTGTTATAAATTGTTCCATAAGTTAAACTTTAGAGGACTGCGAAGCATGTTCTGTATGCATTGAATTCCACAAACACACACACAAACACAAACACACACACAAACACACACACACACACAACCTCTGCACAGCAGCACACCTGGGACGATAGAGCGTGACGGAGCTATGTCGGGCAATGCTTCAAAGGTCTTTGCATACCTCTCTGTCTAGGGACTGAAAAACTCTGTGGTATTGGTGATATGCCCACGTGAGAAACATGACCTCTGGAGCTAGACTGAGACAGGCAACCTCTCCCTGCTCTTTACCCCACCTAGAGTGCACTCATCCTGGGCTGGATTTAGTAGTGACCCCCCCGGGGGAATAGCCTGGATGGATCTCCTGCAGAGCTTTACTGATAGTTCAAAGGACATTTCTTCTTCCATTACTTTCTGAGCCTTGGACAGGATCTGTACCCAGAGCTAAATTGTATGTCAATAATGTATTCATAACTTTTGGTAATAGAGTATACTGCAACAAAGTGATTTACTTGAACAAACTCAATTCAGTTCCCTTCATGAACTTGTAGTTAATATTAATAATTAATATACCACAACAGTTACTTTTCCATGCACATCAAAATAATTAATTAACTACGTTGAAACGACTTAACCGAGCCAAAGTCTGCTGTCCTTGGAGAAACCTTTGATAAAATCTTGGTGCCGCAAAACAATATCCTTTGTGCCCCCTGAGAGAGAAAATACCCATGATACATGTCTGTACAGGATTTACCCCAGTGTTTTAGCTAAAAGGCTCAGACTTCTCTGTAAAACACTGAAGACACACTGGTGTGGGTGTAAGCCTCCATGGAAACACTGCACCAGAAACGTAATAAAAAAATATTTATATATTTGAGAGGTTTCAAGATTATTTGCTTTCTTGGTACCCTACAGTATATGGACAGACAGCATGCATTTCATTCACGTGTTTCATACAATAACATAGATGTTTTGAGATGTGACTGCAAAGATTCCATAACATAGACATAAATATCCATTTTAAATAGAACCTATCCATTGGAGAAGGGAGTTTCCCTAAATGATTGTGTCAGCATGCTAAGAAAATATCCTCATGTAGACTCGCGCTACATACATCTAACCTGTCTGTCTGTCTGTCTGTCTGTCTGTCTGTCTGTCTGTCTGTCTGTCTGTCTGTCTGTCTGTCTGTCTGTCTGTCTGTCTGTCTGTCTGTCTGTCTGTCTGTCTGTCTGTCTGTCTGTCTGTCTGTCTGTCTGTATTTACAAGGGTGTTTGTTCTTCACTGGTTGCCCTTTTCTTGTGGCAACAGGTCACAAATCTTGCTGCTGTGATTGCACACTTTGGTATTTCACCCAATAGATATGGGAGTTTATCAAAATTGGATTTGTTTTCAAAGTCTTTGTGGGTCTGTGTAATCTGAGGGAAATCTTTCTCTGTCTCTCTCTCTCTCTGTGTCTCTCTCTCTGTGTCTCTCTCTCTGTGTCTCTCTCTCTCTCTGTCTCTCTCTCTGTCGCTCGCTCTCTCTCCCCAGGGTAACCATGCATACATGAGGGGTCGGGGTAAGCACATGCCTGGCTTGTGTGTGTGCCTGCGTCCATGCCTGTGTGTGTGTGTGTGTGTGTGTGTGTGTGTGTGTGTGTCCCTGAGTTATGCGGCCTGCTTGGAGGAAACTGACTCACACACTGGAGTTTCAACCGAAATAAACTAAGAATAACATGACAGAGTGACTAACTAAATCTGCCATGAAACCAGACCACACTGGTCAGCATGAGTTAACTAGAATAACATATACAGTACATACAGGACAGGGGAAAACTAATAGACGGTATCAGTAGCCTCAGCACCTGTACACATAGAAATGTCACTTTTTACATAATGGATTTATGTACTCAAGGAGACACAGCCCAAAACATGTGTATGTTGATTTGGATATACTGCCTTCAACAATATGAAATAAATCAATGCAAGAGCATGAAGTTATGCTGTCTCCTTCTATATCAATTTATTATGGGATAATGAATTGGCTTATAGCCCCCTTTTGGGGAAATTCTCCACTTTTCAACATCATATTCATTATCTTCAGCGCCATACGAGTCGAGGTTTAAAGGGATAGTTTGGGATTTTGGCCCTTTATCTACTTCCCCAGAGTCAGATGAACTCGTGGATACCATTTGTATGTCTCTGTGTCCAGTATGAAGGAAGTTAGAGGTAGTTTCGCAAGCCAATGCTAATTAGCGTTAGCGCAATGACTATGGGAACAGTATGCTAGCTGTTTCTGTATACTTCCAGTCATTGTGCTAACGCTAGTTAGCATTGGCTTGCGAAACTACCTCTAACTTCCTTCATACTGGACGCAGATACATAAAAATGGTATCCACGAGTTCATCTGACTCTAGGGAAGTAGATAAAGGGCCTCATTGCCAGAATCCCAAACTATCCCTTTAAGACAGAAGAAAATAGAGCTGAGCACATTCTACCCATCTATTACTGTACTACCTGCTCCTAGTTGGGCCACCTCCTCCAGGTCCTTCTGAGTCTTGGAGGCTGCAATGGCTTCTGGGAGATTCAGGGTGAAGGGAAGGACATCCCTGAAAAGATAAGAGAGAGGGTGATCCAACTATGTCTATAATGTCCCACAGATATTCTGGAGATTCCGACAGTGGACTTTCCCAGTTTGTCCTCTGTATCTCCTCCTGCTAGCTGGACTTGTGTTCTGTCCTCAGGGTGGGTGATGTCACAGGGTGGTAGAAGGGGTTTGTCAAAACAAACACAACAGCAACTGGAGCAGAGAGGTGAGGAAGAGAGTGACATCACTGTGCTGTTACTGTCAACTCAAAGCCAAATAACAGAGCCTTGAGGCCTTAGCTAGTGAATGTCTTCACTAGCATCTTCACTAGCAATAACAATATGCTGACTAAAACATTCCTTATACTGTCAAATTTAATATGCAAGTTATTGAGGATATTTTCCCTTGAGGATATTTTCCCTACTAGGTCCCTTGTTATTAATGAACTATTGTATAACTCGAGCCAGGAGTTTTTTCATAGTCACGTCAAGTGAATAAGAAAAACTCCTGTCGCTAATGATAGTAAAATATATACTTATATTCTGTATTTTTTTTATGTTTATGTTTTATTTCCCACATTGAAACTGTGTTGTGTTGTGTTGGGCATTACTGGATATTACTGGACATTACTGGATATTACTGGATATTACTGGACATTACTGGATATTACTGGATATGACTGGATATGACTGAATATGACTGGACATTACTGGACATTACTGGACATTACTGGATATTACTGGATATTACTGGCACAGTGGCACTACTTTCCTTTCTTCTACTTCCCTGACCACAAGGGTTTTACCTCATTCCACTTGTAGGGTATTGTTGTATGTTTACTGTAAGTTGGTGTTTTGTCAGTTGAAACTAGGTTTTGCTGTATTGGGCATTATTGGGCATTGCTGACATTACCGTTTTTTAATGTTTAAGTTTCTATTTCTCAGTTGAAACAAAGTTCTGACGTATTAGGAAATACTGGAAACCCTGTTTCCTGTGCTGTAGCTCTGAGCTGTCTGTGAATGAGCTGGCATGAAGCTGGTCTAAAACCAGAAGTGAGAAGAGGGCAGTTGAGACAAGCTAGGTCCTGAGTGCTTACTGCTTACTTAACACAATGTTATTTCCATCCATGGGCTGTTGGTTTCAGTTGCTGTAGCTCTCACCGCAGTGGAATGGCAACAGAGGGAGGAATGACAGAGGGAGTGGGGATAGGGTGGGACGGAGGGAGAGGGGGACGGAGGGAGGAGAGAGAGAGAGAAAGAGAGAAAGACAGAGCGAGAGATAGAACTTTGAGAACATGACTGTACCTGCTGATACAGTAGAAGGCCACCAGGCGAAACAGGTCTGCAAAACTGATCCCAGATCCTTCCAGAGAAAAGGCTGCAACCAGAGGAAGAACACAGAGAATCCATGAAAACTGTACAGACTTTATTACGAGGTATAACACCTACAGCCAAATCAAGTCTTGGTTAGCTTCCATCTTGAAATATATGAGGAATTTCTCCCCATAGTTATGTTAGGTTAATGTCCATTCTAGCATACTACTTAGCATGCATGCCAAATACATTTATTCATTCTAAGTAGTTTGATATGCTAGTTTGGACATTAAAACATTTGAGGCTAAATCCAACCCACATTCAAAAGGCCAAACCAGGCCAGAGAAGACACTTAATGTTGACATTAAAAAGGGGGAAATTCCTAGATATCCAATGTGCACATCTGGTAAGTCATCATTCCCTGGCATTATTACTATTCCATTACTCATTACGTTTTTTTGTTATAATCCCAACAGTGCAGTAAATTACCAAAACTGTAAATGTCTCTCCAAGAGAAAACATCCAATAGGTAATAGCCAAATGCTACATGAGATTTGCCCTGCAATAAATATAGTGTGTGTGTGTGTGTGTGTGTGTGTCTGTGTCAGGGCTTTACTGTTTTATGGTCAAGATTAGCACTTTGAACAATGTCAGAGAGAGAGTCACATTTTTCAGCAGTGGTGGAAGCGTGAAACAGGTCAAAGGAATCGTCAATGGAAAGCACACATAACGAGAGTGTGTGTGTGTGTGTGTGTGTGTGTGTGTGTGTGTGTTGAGGTAAAGGCAGGATTTGACATGGTTAAAGGTAGGTGACCTATGAGTATAGTCATGGTGTGATTCATTGTATATGCTGTTTGTTGTCTGAGAAATGCACAGTTGGGCCAATTGAAAACATGTTGAGTCATGCATCTGTTGCCTCCCGAGTGGCGCAGTGGTCTAAGGCACTGCATCGCAGTGCTAACTGTGCCACTAGAGATCCTGGTTCGTATCCAGGCTCTGTCGTAGCCGGCCGCGACCGGGAGACCCATGGGGCGGCGCACAATTGGCCCAGCATCGTCCAGGGTAGGGGAGGGAATGGCCGGCAGGGATGTAGCTCAGTTGGTAGAGCATGGCGTTTGCAACGCCAGGGTTGTGGGTTCGATTCCCACGGGGGGTATGAAAAATAATAATGTATGCACTCACTAACTGTAAGTCGTCTGGATAAGAGCGTCTGCTAAATGACTAAAATGTAAATGTAAAAAATGTTTGCTAAAAATGTTTGAATATACTATAAGTAAACACTCCTTATGCAGAAGGCAAGTCATCATTTGGTTTAGGTACTAGGCCGGGTCGTCATTGTAAATAAGAATTTGTTCTTAACTGAAATGTTAGCATTAAATAAATGTTATATTAATTACATTTAATGACTAGGCTGCGTGCTGTACTATAGCCAATCAGGAGTGTTAGCTGGGCTTTGGGACGTTACTGTACTGGATGAATAAAGGTTTAATAAATAAAATAAATAAACTGCACGCTGTTCCATTATGACACTCACTGTACTGACTCTCTCTGACAGGGAAGTCACAGACGCTGGCTCCTCCTGAGGCGTCATCATCACTGACCCTTAGAGAGAGAACTTTCCTCTGAAGAGTGGATGACTTCCTCACCAGGAATACCTGGACAGGAGAGAGACAGACAGGTTCATTAAGGGTTGACCTTTCAAAGGGTCACGTCAGTGACATCACCTGATCCATATGCTCACACCTGTCCATCAGCTTTAATCTCTTTTTCTGTTAGAATGCTAAAATGATAATATACAAGCCCTACAATAACAAAGGTCATACTGTGACCTTGAACCTTGACCCTCTCACCCCTGGAGGCTGCTGCAGCAGTATACGGGTGGCCTCCTTGTCACTGAGCGTGAGCAGTAGCCACACGGGGTGCGTATGCCTCAGTCTGTCCAGGACGCTCATCCGCCTACGCAGGGAGTCGTACCCAGAATCCCTTTCACCACTGGCGCCAGCGCAGGGCGAGGACTGGAGGTAAACCCCGCTCACCTCCCCCTCCAACCTGAGAGAGAGAGAGAGAGAGAGAGAGAGAGAGAGAGAGAGAGAGAGAGAGAGAGAGAGAGAGCAAGAGAGAGAGAGAGAGAGAGAGAGAGAGAGAGAGAGAGAGAGAGAGAATAAGGTACTGTCTCCATCTTTTGGTGAAAGAGTACATGATGCAGTGTCCCACAGAGAACTATCTAGGTATAGCATGTGAATAGTGACACAAATAAAATGGAGTCTACTGTCCCTTTCTTTTGCCTCACTCAAGTCTCCCCCATCACTAAATGTCTGTGTTGTCACTCTATTCAACTACATTGTTAGAACAAATCACAATACCTTATATTCAAACACTGACAAAAATGTGTACTAAGAATCCTAATAAGGTAAAGGACTGTGAAGGAGCAAAAAGTAGAGGACGAAAGGAGGAGAGGGGACTTACCCCTGTAGAACCATAGGGTATGGGTCTCTGTCCTCTGTTGGGGAGGTCTGGACCATCTCTTGCTTCAGCTCCCCTATCTCCGTCGCAAACGTGTCTATCAGCTACACACAGAGGATAGACAGAGAGGGAGTGAACGACATGGAAGAGAAGCAGAGAGGGACTAGGTAAAAGATAGAGGGAGAGGCGGAGGAGAGGGTGAGAAGGTGAGAGCAAACGAAACAGATTTTGTGAGTAAGATGGAGAGAGAGATAGAGAGTGATCATGGTAGAGGTAAAGAATGAAAACAGAGATTGAGTAAGGTTGAAAGTAGAATGAAAAGAGAGAGGTAGAGAGAGAGCAAATTGAGAAATGTCCCTCACAAACAGAAAGGGAAGCACAACATGAGAAAGCAAGGAACAGGGAAACGGTTAGTCACTTTTCCTGTGTTTACCTCACTTCCCTCCCTGGGACAGGAAACATGGAGACAAAGCAGTGACAACCCACACACACACACACACACACACACACACACACGCATACTACTGACAGTACAGACACACATACACACACACACACACATACGCACACGCATAAGCACACACACACACAGTCGCACCACTCCCCCATACATACACACACATCAGTCTTACATACTCAACTATATCTCTCACAGATACAATAAACACAATGTCTCCTAATCTAATCCTAATCTAGGGAAGCGTAAACATCTGGATGCTATCTATATTAACACAAAGTGCGTCCTAAATGACACCCTATTCCCTATGCAGTCCACTTCTTTTGACCTATCTTTTTCTCACTACATAGGGAATAGGGTGCCATTTGGAATGCAGACAAGGAGAAGGACACAGAGGAAGGATGAAGTGACTCAGGCCAACAGTGTTTGATGGATAAACCTCTCTCTTATCTGACAGGCTATTTCCATAGTGAAGATAAGTCTGCCCCCCCCAATGGAGCATTGGGCTACGATGACAACAGAACTAAATACAGTGAGGGAAAAAAATATTTGATCCCCTGCTGAATTTGTACGTTTGCCCACTGACAAAGAAATTATCAGTCTATAATTTTAATGGTAGGTTTATTTGAACAGTGAGAGACAGAATAACAACAAAAAAATCCAGAAAAAACGCATGTAAAAAATGTTATAAATTGATTTGCATTTTAATGAGGGAAATAAGTATTTGACCCCCTCTCAATCAGAAAGATTTCTGGCTCCCAGGTGTCTTTTATACAGGTAACGAGCTGAGATTAGGAGCACACTCTTAAAGGGAGTGCTCATAATCTCAGCTTGTTACCTGTATAAAAGACACCTGTCCACAGAAGCAATCAATCAATCAGATTCCAAACTCTCCGCCATGGCCAAGACCAAAGAGCTCTCCAAGGATGTCAGGGACAAGATTGTAGACCTACACAAGGCTGGAATGGGCTACAAGACCATTGCCAAGCAGCTTGGTGAGAAGGTGACAACAATTGGTGTGATTATTCGCAAATGGAAGAAACACAAAAGACTGTCAATCTCCCTCGGCCTGGGGCTCCATGCAAGATCTCACCTCGTGGAGTTGCAATGATCATGGGAACGGTGAGGAATCAGCCCAGAATTACACGGGAGGATCTTGTCAATGATCTCAAGGCAGCTGGGACCATAGTCACCAAGAAAACAATTGGTAACACACTATGCCGTGAAGGACTGAAATCCTGCAGCGCCCGCAAGGTCCCCCTGCTCAAGAAAGCACATATACAGGCCTGTCTGAAGTTTGCCAATGAACATCTGAATGATTCAGAGGAGAACTGGGTGAAAGTGTTGTGGTCAGATGAGACCAAAATCGAGCTCTTTGCCATCAACTCAACTCACCATGTTTGGAGGAGGAGGAATGCTGCCTATGACCCCAAGAACACCATCCCCACCATCAAACATGTAGGTGGAAACATTATGCTTTGGGAGTGTTTTTCTGCTAAGGGGACAGGACAACTTCACCGCATCAAAGGGACGATGGATGGGGCCATGTACAGTCAAATCTTGGGTGAGAACCTCCTTCCCTCAGCCAGGGCATTGAAAATGGGTCGTGGATGGGTATTCCAGCATGACAATGACCCAAAACCCACGGCCAAGGAAACAAATGAGTGGCTCAAGAAGAAGCACATTAAGGTCCTGGAGTGGCCTAGCCAGTCTCCAGACCTTAATCCCATAGAAAATCTGTGGAGGGAGCTGAAGGTTCGAGTTGCCAAACGTCAGGCTCGAAACCTTAATGACTTGGAGAAAATCTGCAAAGAGGAGTGGGACAAAATCCCTCCTGAGATGTGTGCAAACCTGGTGGCCAACTACAAGAAAGGTCTGACCTCTGTGATTGCCAACAAGGGTTTTGCCACCAAGTACTAAGTCATGTTTTGCAGAGGGGTCAAATACTTATTTCCCTCATTAAAATGCAAATCAATTTATAACATTTTTGACATGCGTTTTTCTGGATTTTTTAGTTGTTATTCTGTCTCTCACTGTTCAAATAAACCTTCCATTAAAATTATAAACTGATCATGTCTTTGTCAGTGGGCAAACTTACAAAATCAGCAGGGGATCAAATACTTTTTTCCCTCACTGTATGTTGTTGCTTCTCAAACAATATTTCTAGGGTTTGACACCATGGGTGCATATCAATAGTCTTAAGAGGCTTTCTCTCCTTGTCTCAATTCCTCTTTCAGGACAAGTAGGCTTTTAAGGTGTTTCTCTCACTAGTTTGTGTTTCTACATTAGTGAATATGAAGGTAAGGAGTCAAGGAAAGAAGGGAAACCTGTAGGTTCTTACCAACTGTGCTACATAATCTGACCACTAGGTGGAAATATTTCCCACACCACAGACCCCCTCATAGTTTGTTCTGAGTAGAAGTCGCCCATAGTCACAGATCTAGGATCAGCTTACCGTTTCCCAATCCTATCATGAACGATTGGTGGGGAAAACAAAACCGACCTTAGATCAGCTAATCTATTCCACTCATCATAGCTGCACAGTCCAGACCACTGTAACCACTAACCACAGACCACTGGTTCCCCCTGTTACTGCCCCATTACAGGGACTATGTGGAGCCAACTCTGTCTCTGTCTCTGGTGGTCTGACGTCTTTTAAAATGTTAGTCAGCAAAGACAGAGCTGAGTATAGTTCTGAACTGAAGAGAGAGACAAACAGAGAGAGAGGAGATAGATAGCAGCGCGAGAGAGCAGATAGATAGAGCTGAGAGGAGAGAGAGAGAGAGAGAGGAGAGATATAGAGAGCAGAGATATATATGAAAGAGAAATAGAAATATAAAGAATAAGTAGAAAAAGACAGAGTGTCCTTAAAGGAGTAGAGCGACAGAGATATTTAGAAAAAAAAGGGAAAGAGAAGGAAAGAGAGAGAGAGAGAGAGAGAGGAAGAACGAGAGAGTCTGAAAGAAAATTAGACATGGAGAGAGGGAGAGAGAGACCCCTCTCCCAGAAAATGAGGTTCAATTGACACATTTATTGTGAAAGGTCTTCAATGGTCTACTCTGGCCACAGTGCCCTGCTATGGAACTAAATGGCAGCATAATCACAGGCCCTGTTTCAGCCCAATGACTTTTACAGAGGAACCACTTATATATTTTATTTAGCGAATGCAAAGTCCCTTAGCCAAGCGATTGCTTCCGGTCTTGCTGTGTTGAGGGTGAGTAGGCCTCCGCTGAGTTTGTAGATTGGACAGACTTCAAAAATGTGGTGCATGGTTTGCTCCACCCCACAGGCACATAATAATAATAATAATAATAAGCCATTTAGCAGACGCTTTTATCCAAAGCGACTTACAGTCATGCGTGCACCATTTTTTTGTGTATGGGTGGTCCCGGGGATCAAACCCACTACCTTGGCGTTACAAGCACCGTGCTCTACCAGCTGAGCTACAGAGGACCACATAGGGGGCTTGCTTTAATGCACCATCGGTGGAGGTTGGCGAGGCATGGGCCGTGGACAGACTTGATCCTATTGGGGGTGGACAACTACTGGTGCCCAGGAAAACTCATCTTCAACAGGAAGTAAAAATAACACTTATATCCTTCCCTCTCTCTCTTCCTCACTCTTTATCCATCTTTCTCTCACTCTTCATCCACCTCATTCTCTCTCTTCTTTTCCCCTTTTTATCAATCACATCGCATTGGATACAGTGCTTTTTCCCTCTCACTCTCTTTCTCTTTCTCCCTCTCTCTCTCCATACTCTCTTTCTCTTTCTCCACATGGTCTTTCTCTCTCTCAGGAGGGCTGTGTCCAACAACAATGCCATCATTAATTCTAGCTCTTTAATGAGTGCAGAATCGGAGGTAAGCGATTCTCTGCATGGGCTGAAGTTAAAGCCATGATGATGGAGTCAATGGGAAACTATGTTGTTTTGACCTACAGAGAGCGCTGTCACTGGGGCTAGCAGAGTGGATTGAGGGAGAGAGAGACAGAGAGAGAGGGGATGGAGAGACAGAGAGAGCGGGGGTGACGGAGAGACAGATAAAGAGAGAGGGGATGGAGAGAGAGAGAGAGGGGATGGAAGACGAGAGAAAAGGATAAGAGAGAGGGAGGGGATGAGAGAAGAGAGAGTGAAGCAGAAGATGGGATCTTAGTTAGTATCTCTACTATCTCTATTGTCTTGTCTCACTCTCATTCTACTGTTTAGTATTCCTCTCTCTGCTCTCTCTCTCTCTCTCTCTCTCTCTCTCTCTCTCTCTTCTCTCTCTCTCTCTTCTCTCGTCTCCTACGCTCTACTCTTTCGCTACTCTTCTCTCCTCTTTCCCTTTCTTTCTTTCTCTTTCTCTCCTCTGGGCCCTACCATCACATCTCATAAGACCAAATAATGGTGTTCCAAAAAAGGTCCAGTTGCCAGGACCACAAGTACAAATTCCATCTAGACACCCTTGCCCTAGAGCACACAAAAAATATATACATATCTCGGCATAAACATCAGCGCCACAGGTAACTTCCACAAAGCTGTGAACGATCTGAGAGACAAGGCAAGAAGGGCCTTCTATGCCATCAAAAGGAACACAAAATTCGACATACCAATTAGGATCTGGCTAAAAATACTTGAATCAGTTATAGAACCCATTGCCCTTTATGGTT